CTGGCTTTCCTCCCATGTATGTAATTGCCTCCTCCATCTTGGATTCCAGCTCCAAGAATTCCCAATCCAATATCCCATTTGGTGAACTGAACTGCATTTATCAATAGACAAGGAAAAAAGTTTGGGGAACAAGTCCTTCAAACTATTATCTCTAGCCCACTTATCATGCCAAAAGGATATATTTCTTCCTTCACCTAATTTAATTTTGAAACTAGCTTTTAGCCAGTCCATTTTCTCAAATAACACTTGATTTATACTACCAATGTCTCGCCACCACCGTGACCCTCCCTTACTGCCTTCCCTCATCCAGCTGGTCCAATTGTGTCCCTCCCTATTGTATTTTGCACTCAGGATTTTTTTCCATAACCCCACACTCTCATCTGTAAGTCTACTCCACCATTTCCCTAGTAGAGCTAAATTAAATCTCCTAAGGTCCTTAATGCCTAACCCCCCATCCTTTTTGTTTTTGCAAATTTTCTCCCACCCAACCCAGGCTATTTTTTTTGGTAGCTCACATCCACCCCATAGAAAAGCCCGCCTAATTGAGTCAATCCTCTTAATCACACCCATAGGAATCAAGTAAGCAGACATTAGGAATACGGGAAGACTAGAAAGCACAGAATTAATGCAAACAATCCTACCACCCATAGATAAAAATCTGTTATTCCAACCAGTCAGTTTTCTTTCAAATTTTGCCACCAGTGTTGACCATGTGCTCTTTCTCCTCAAAGATGCGCCAACTGGCATGCCCAAATACATCAGAGGGAGTTTTCCAGGCTTGCAATGTAGAAAGCATGCAAAATGATTTATCTCTTCCGTGTCCACATTGATTCCGATCAAAGTACTTTTGTTGTAGTTGATCTTAAGCCCTGAAACCAGTTCGAAGGTCCTCATTATGCTTTTGGCTGCTTTGATGTTCTGCTCATTTGCTTCACCAAATAGGATGGTGTCATCGGCAAATTGTAGATGTGAAATGGTGATGTTGCTAGACCCCACCTGAACTCCATTAAATAGGCTTTTTGAGACAGCTGAATTGATAATGCCGTTTAGACCTTCAGCAACAATGAGAAAAAGGAAGGGGGATAGGGGATCCCCTTGACGAAGACCTTTGCTAACTTTGAACTCCTTTGTGGCACTTCCGTTAACCAGAACTGAAACTGTACTAGAGCTGAGGCATTCCTTTATCCATTTTCTCCAAATATCACAAAACCCCATGCGAGACATCATGTAGTCTAGAAAATCCCAGGAGACTTTGTCAAAGGCTTTCTCAAAATCAGCTTTAAAAATGAAGCATCTTTTTTTCTTCTGCTTGATTTCGTCTATAGTTTCGTTTGCCACAATGACACTATCAACCAACAACCTTCCAGCTATAAATGCTGACTGGTTTTCCCCGATTAAACCCTCAATCACCTTACTTAGCCTGTTGGCTAGTAATTTTGAAATGAGTTTGTACATACACCCGATTAAGGAGATCGGTCGGTAGTCTTCAATTCTAATAGGATTATCCTTTTTTGGGATGAGGACAATAAAAGAGGCATTTGAGCCCCTTACTAGCTTCCCATTTCTTTGAAAATCAACCACAAAATCGCAGATTTCCTTCCGCACATCCTCCCACATAGTCTTCAAAAAGCCAAAAGTGAAACCATCAAGACCCGGAGCTTTTGAGCTATTGCAAGCCCATATTGTTTTTTTTATTTCCTCCTCTGTAAACTGTGAGATTAATGTGGCATTCTGCTCTGTTGATAACCTGTTAAACTCAATACCATCCAACCGTGGTCTCCTCCATTCATCTTCTTTGAACATAAGCTCAAAATGCTCTGCCACCCCCTGTTGTAATTCCTCAACATCCTGAAGCTGAACACCATTTATTTCCAAGCAGTTAATTTCATTACGTCGCCATCTTTGTTTGATGCTTTGATGAAAAAATCTTGTATTTGCATCACCAGAATTAATCCAGTATAACCTGGATTTCTGTTTTAGCATGCTCTCCTTATCCTGCAAGAATCTCCAAAGATCCATGGTACCTTGCCTCCGTGTCTCCAATTCATCATTTGAAAGTGTAAAAACTTCCCCTTTGTCATCTAAGGTAGCAATGGTTTCTTTACAATTCTCGATCTTCTTGTCCAGCTCACCAAATTTCTCTTTACTCCAGCATTTCAAGAAGGATTTGGTTTCTTTCAATTTTTGTTTCAAGATGTAGCCACCCCAACCCTGAATGTGAGTTGTCTTCCATAATTCAGCAACCTTAAGCTTGAATTCAGGATGTTGGAGCCAAGCATTGAATAAGCGGAATGGTTTGGGGCCCCAATTCTTCACCTCATTTTTCAACAGAACAGGGCAATGGTCTGAGATGTCTCTTTTCAAGCCCCATTGTTTCATGTCTTTCCATTTTAGTAGCCAATCTTCTGATAGCAGGAATCTGTCGAGTCTACTCATTGCATT